GGCATATGTCTGAGATTTTGCTGCCTGTGGATTCCTCTAATAATTTTATGGTTTCCCATATTACGTTTAAAGTCCTTTATCCATTTTGAGTTTATTTTTGTGTATGGTGTAAGTTAGTGGTCTAGTTTCATTTTTTTTGCATGTATCTGTCCAATTTTCCCAACACCATTTATTGAAGAGACTGTCTTGACTCCATTGTATGTTCTTGCCTCCTCTGTCAAATGTTGAGCATAGTGGTTTGGGTCGATTTCTGGGTTCTCTATTCTATACTATTGGTCTATATGTCTGTTCTTGTGCCAGTACCAAGCTGTTTTGAGAACAGTGGCTTTGTAATACAGCTTGATACCTGGTATTGAGATTGATCATGTAACACTGTTTTCCAGAGCACATTATTTTCATTTTGGTCTGAGCTTTGTGACATACAGCACTTTTGAGGAAATTAATTCCAAGCCACAAGAACCTTTTCATATAACTTTAATAACATTAGCACACTGGCTTTATAAAATTTTTCCTGAAGATATATATATTCATGATTACCCAGTAATTATTTATTGCATAGCTTTGTTTTCAACAATGTCCAACATATACATTGGAAAGGTCAGGCCTCAATATCATAATTACCAAATTCCTAGTAAATTCTTTTACTTTTTTTACAAAACAAGAACCAATCTGTCAAGTGAATTCTATAAACATGCAAAACAAGCATTGCTTGGGCTTCTTTAATGGAATGTTTGCCCCCAGATAGTTCCATACAGTCTTTGATCACCTCCTTTTTTAGTGGAACCTTAGTATGTCTTCATTTGGCAATGTTTCTTTCTTAAAGCAGCCTTACTCTTGAAAATCACATAATATGGCAGTTTCTTTTTATAGTTGATTGTAGTTATTTTTTATTATCTTAATAATCACCTTTCCCCCCTTTTGTATGTGCATTAAAAAAAGTTATTTAGGGGAATGGTTTATAATATAAAAGCCTTTGTAAGGATCATTGTTGAGTGTAAAAAATTCAATTTTCATTTTAAAATAACTTAGTGAATTTCCAGTCTGATTTTTTTTATTCCATTTCCTTTCCAGTATTTGTCAGGGGTACTAGATTTATTAATACACTTTTCCATGACCATGTAGAGAATTGCCCTGTAGAAAGGATATATGTTTCCATTTAAGTGACAAAAGTATTTGCAGCCTTGGTCCTGGAAAAATATCTAGCGGGGGAAAAACAAAGCAAACTAATTTTAGTGTAAATGACACCACTTTTGTAGCTTCTCATGTCGTAGAAATTCTGTAATAGGACTGATAAATCAAGGCTTTCTTCTGTTGCCATTTTCTTTCAATAAACTTGTTCTTTGCTAAATCCTGTTAAATAATGTAAGTAGAAAAGTATAGTTAAGAGGATATTTTATTTGGTTG